ATCAGCAGCACGATCATGAAACAGGCTAAGGTTTGATCGTTATTTGTAGATGTCAGCAACTTAGCCATATGTATTATTAATTGGTCATAATACAACATCAAGAGCTGGGCATAAGAAACCTGCTACATAGAATGACATGTTTACTAAGTTATATTGTTGATAGAGAATCCTCTGCTACAACGAAAAGTGTGCATGCCGAAGCAATGGAGTCCCCTATAGAGTAAGGTATACTTAAATTTAAGGTGTACGCTTTGCATGATAGGTGCCTTTGACTACACTTATCTTAATCAAATTGACCAATTATCACAATGTTTTTCTAAATGTTGCAAGAACCTGATGTTAGGACAGCAGACCAAACCCGGGGCATGTGCACACCCACTGATCAGACTAGCTAGGATGGTCCCTCGCAATGAGGTTATATAGAATGTTTGCTAACCTTCGCGGAAATGATATGATAGAATAAATAGTGAAAATATTTTGCTACCTTTCAGGACAAATACAGTTCAATTATAGAAAAAAAAACTATTAATTTTAACGATCAAGAGAAAAGGATAACTAAGTTGTTAGCAAACACTTTGAAGCACAGTAAAGACACTCCTACAACCATGTATGAACAATAAGCAGAGATTCAGCTACTCCTATGATGTAAAGGTAAGCAATTACCTGCAGTATAGAAATCTGCGAACAGATGGTAGGAATTCTCGAGTAATATTTGATTAAGTTTCCTGGACTGCATGGACTCAAGTTGAACAATGAAGGCATAGTATTGTAAATAGCCAGACACCGATATAAAAACCGCGTTAGCATCCTCGGAGTACCCCACTATAGCTCCCTTCCCTGTCTTAATCCGACGTGGCAGACCAATGATCTTGTGAATGTCAATAATCTTGTGCCGCACCCATGAAGCAACACCCTGACTACTGACCTTGCGTTTCCACATATTGAAGCTCGGATACAAAAATACAGCGAGGCCAACATTGCCATCCTCTAACCTGATTATCCGACTGTTGCCGCGGTTGATGCCCGCACTTGAAGGCCTCTCTATCACAGCTAGTCTCTGGCTATCCAAATCAAACTCGAGTATGCCATTGTCCGACCCATGCAACAACCAGTAGAGGACATTGCCCACAAGCGTGCAGGGGAGACGGTTAACCATATCGGGGAGATGGTAGACCAAACCGGCACATGGTTGCGTCGTCGAAACTTGATCTCCCCACATGCCGGTCTCTGAGGAGTAAACCCAGGCGACGGTTAGATCTTGTTTCTGTCTGGTGCCTACCAAGACAACCTTGAAGGGGCACGAGTGGCAGTCTCCGTGCACGTGGCCCTGGTCGTCGCCCGCAGCGCAGAGCACGGCTCCGCTGAAGTCGCGCACGCACTGTAAGAAATCTGACGGAATGTCCACGCTGCGGCAGTCACCGGAGACAGGATGAAACACGAGGAGCATAGGCCGAAACCGGATGACGATAAGGACCCAGCCGTGGCGGCACCCGAGCAGAACCCAGGAATTGAACGGGCCACAAAAATCGTCGCCGTCGCCGCCGGGCCGCAGGGAGAAGCGCGCGCGAGGGATGCGGTCGGGGGGGTCGAGGATGGGTGTGAAGACCAGCTTCCCGTCGCGCTTCTCGAAGAAGCCGAGGACCGGGGGTCTCCGGTGGTGGGCGACGAAGCGGCGGCGGAAGGAGGGGGCGGCGGCGACGCCTCCCCATAGCTTGGAGACGAGGGAGGCGCGGGGGAGCGAGGAGGGCATCGGGGGGAGGACGCGGAGGAGGATCTCCCCGAGGAGGTCCTCGTCTTCCAGCGGCGCGGCCGTCGACGGGTGGCGGCGGCGGAGGGCCATCTCGTCGCCGCCGGCCTGGTGGCTCATCTGGATGTGGATGTGGGGTAGGGTTTGTTTGAAACGGAAATGGGGGGAGTCAGACTGGAGGGAGACGCATAGGAGAAGTGAGGAATACACGGGCTGGCCTCACTTGAAAAGCTGGCTGACCCTTTGGATTACGGCCCAACAAACATACGAGTAGAACCTAATTACCTATGCTTTTAACCCTAAAAAATTACCTATGCTTCTTTTGCAGGTGGAAAAAAAATATGCCTATGTTTTTTTGTGAGGGTTAAAAAGATGTCTATGCTGATTTCATAATGTTAGTGTTTCTCTAAAACAACTAATGTTACAGTTTCTCTCTAACTAGTAATCGGGCACGTATTTTGCAGCAACATAAAAAAAACAGGCACGTGTAATGCACGTGTCAATTCATACAAAAAAACTCGATATGGCCAATGTTGGTAGTTTGTTACTCCCTTCATCTCATAATATAAGAGAGCGCTTCTACACTACACTAGTATAAAAAACGCTCTTATATTATAGGATGGGGGTATGTCACAAGCTTTGGAAGCAAACATTCCACTTAACTGGAATATTTAATAATTAATTTAAGGACGCAATTCTTTCAAGTAATATTGAGCATTATAATGTCTCTCGCGAAAGAAGTGTCATAGTTGCATTCACATTCCCTTAAAAAACTATACATTATTTTTCACTCCCTCCGTCTTAAAATATAAGAACGTTTTTGATACTTGCATAGTGTCAAAATGTTCTTATATTTTGGGACAGAGGGAGTAGCATTTAGTCAAATTCGTGTGGACAACCTGCAAACACATCACCCCTTTCTCTTCTCATGGTTGACCTCCAAGCATGCGTCATGTGAGACTTAGATTATGGAGCACCTGCCACGTGGTGATGCCCGTCAAAAGCGGCTTGGAGCCAGAAAGTTGAGCCAGAAAGCGTGCGGACCCGGGTCATATAAGATTTTTTTTCCCAGGCAAGGGAACAAGTAACGCTGGTGAGCAAAAATGTATTATTTTCATTCGAGGACTCACTCACCAAATTTTGACGACATTACATGTGTTGGACAGTCATGAATGGCGGAGCCTCTTTGTAGAGGACCGATGATGACTTCAGGTGGTAGAGCAAATTCGTCCCGTCTTGTTGTTCAAGTCGAGTGGAACATGAATCATGAAAATATTTCATCCTCCTATGATGTCCAAGAAAATCTCTTCATAGTTTTACTTTCTCCATCATTGCCTGCAATTTCAACATGGACATGCTTGGATCATTTATTCGATGCTCTAGTTGGATCCTTTTCGGATGCAAATTTGGTGGCGCCACGAAATGAGCATCACATGACATGGCTTGCTGGGTAGGAATTTGTTGTAGATGGATGAAATCCAAGGGATTGCACAAATAATTTACAAAACTACTAGCGAGGCGAACATCATTTCCCTTAAGGCCATGTTCGGTTACACCCAACCTCGAGAGGTTTCTAGGCCAATCCACGCAGCGCCGGGGACTAAACCTGGGCCACCCAAATTTTTTCATTCAGTTAAACCCCTCCAAACCCACACGGAAAAAATCATCCACTAGCACCCCCATGGAAGGAATCCGAGTGAAGTGCTCGTACTATCTATCCTGAGCAAGGCGACAAAAGTGACGGCAAGGAGGCAGCGGAGACAAGTGGACAGCGGCGGTGCAACCTACCCGTAGGAGAAGGGCGCTGCCCGGCTTCGACGATCTGCCGGGAAGCCCCATCGAAACCGCTTCCGCTTTGTCCAATCTCCCCAGCCGCCTTAGTACAGAGAATAGGTAGCCGCCGGAGATCTTCTGGTTCCCTCTCTAGCAGCTTCACAACTGCAGTACTAGTGGATTAACCAAACATAGATTAGGTGAGAGGGATTAATGCCTCTAGTGGAATGATTCCATGTGGGGGTTGGGTGGAGACACCCAAATTGTTAGAGATACGACACAATCGAACATGATGAACAACGAAAAATAAGCAGGAGACAGAGGATTTAACCTGGAAAACCCCTCCAACACGAAGTGGAAAAAACCACAGCGCCCGCCAACAAATCTTCACTATATTCGGGGAGGTTACAAAGTCGGAGATTTACAACTGATCAACTCATCCCGTGCGGCGGCTTACAAAGGATATATATAACACAAGTGACCTAGGTCAATACTGACCCATACCACGGGGGGCTTCTCTATGCTCCACTTGGGCCCAAGCCTATTGGCGACGGGCCTCGCTCCGCTCGCTCGTCAAAAGTTAGTGTTTCTCTTTATACTTGAATTTGGATCATACCATAACACAAACCCTGCGAGGATTAAATTCACTAGTTTATATAATCCGTTGGAACCGAAGAAGGCACAAAAGATATATATACTCAAACATTAGAAATGCTCATATGTGGATATAGCCATGAATAAATGAACATCTGCTACTACAAATTATTGCACAATGACTAAAGCAAGGCTGAGTTTGCCGATCAATATAGGAACATCTACTAGCAAAATCCTGTAAGTAGTAGAAATCATGACCATACCGGTATACGAATCATCGACTAATTTCTTCTGGATTAGTTTTATGAAACCATCTTCAGAACAAGAGCGTGCATATTGTTATGGAAATTTAAAACTGCAGAAAGTTCATCAAGAAGTGCAGAATTGGACAAACAAAGTATTGCACATGCATGATCTGGCACTGAATATGTACGTGACCTCGACTAGTATATCAGTATGTGAATCATCAACTAATTACATTCAATATGTACAGGATCTAGCACAAGCTCAGGTCTCATACTAGATTCTAGCATTGGACTAGACTAACAAAAAAAATTAAAACTGCAGAAAATGACTTGGGAACGAATTAAGATGGAAGATCCACCAGATCGTCGAGATCTATATATTAGCAAATTTCTTTGGTGCCTCTGCTGCAGTAGCGAGCACTGGGGTAGAACTCCCATTGTTCGTAGCACCAATGTTGAGAGAAAGGAATGATGAACCATCACTATTTAGCGCAAACAGGGGAGCATTTGAGCTTTCTTTAAGAGTCTGAAAATCCATTTCCAGCCAGCCCCATGAAAGCATTTTGGCATTGATGACTACCCTTCGTTATCAGATGATCCATCCTTAGTCCCTGATTCAGCTTCATCTTTCTTCTCATCATCATCGTTTCTGGTTTTACCTTCACCTCCAGCTTCATCTACTGCCTTCTCTATAGCATCTCCATCTTCTGTTTTGCCCTTAAGTTCTCCATACGGTGCTTCAGTTATGGCACTGGACTTGTTTTACCTTCAGTGTGAATCATGAAAATCTTTCGTCCTCCTCTGATGTCCATGAAAGTCTCTACATAGTTTTACCTTCTCTGTCATTGCCTGCAATTTCAACATGGACACGCTTGAATCGTTTATTTGATGCTCTAATTGGATTCTTTTCATATACAAATGTCGGTGGTGCCAGGAAATGAGCATCACGTGAAATGGCTGGCTGAGTACGTAGGAATTTGTTGTGGATGGATGAAGCTCGATGGATTGCACAAATAGTGTACAAAAACCACCAGGGTAGCCAACATCATTTCCCCTAAAAGATTATATGTGGATATAGCCATGAATATGTGAACATCTGCTACTACAAATCATTACACAGTGGCTAAAGCATGGCTAAATTTGCCCATCAGTATAGGAAAATCTACGGACCTACTAGCAAAATCCTGTAAGTAGTAGGAATCGTGACAAGACCATCATTATGTACATGATCTGGCACTGAATATGTACGTGATCTGAACTAATATATCAGTATGTGAACCATCAACTAATTGCATTGAGTATGTACAGGATCTAGCACAAGCTCAAGTCTCTAGATTCTAGCACTGGACTAATAAAAAATTAAGATGGAAAATCCACTGGATCGTCCAGATCTAAAGATTAGCAAATTTCTGTGGTGCCTCTGCTGCAGTGGCGAGTACTGGGGTAGAACTCCCATTGTTCGTACTACCAATGTTGAGAGAAGGGAATTATGAGCCATCAATCTTTAGCTCAAACAGGGGAGTATTTGAGCTTTCTTTAGAGCCTGAAAATCCAGTTCCAGCCAGCCCCATAAAAGCATTTTGGCCAGTTGACAAATTCATTGAGGAGAAAAGAGCTGTCGGCAATGATGACTACCCTTTATTATCAGCATCCTTCTGCTCAGATATCCATCCTTGGTCCCTGATTCAGCTTCATCTTTCTTCTCATCATCATCGTTGCTGGTTTTACCTTCACCTCCAGCTTCATCTACTGCCTTCTCTACAGCATCTCCATCTTCTGGTTTGTCCTTGATTCCAGATATCTTGCTATTATCTTCCTTGTGTTGTTCAGACGGTGCTTCAGTTATGTCACTGGACTTGTTTTTTTTCATCCGACTCTTTCCCACTGCCATTGCTAACATCAGAAGGTGGAGGCTCTGAGACTGCCATACTTGCTTGAACAGTGGAATCACTTGGCTTGAATATAATTGCAGAGAAAGGATTTGAAGGAGCTGTTGACGGCTGCTAATTCTTAACCTTTACAAACTCTCGGGTCGCCATCACCTCCTCACAAGCTTTCTTAAATGTTCATGTCTCTTGTTCCGATGAGTTGTCATTATGCTCAGGGTGATCCTTGTTGATTTGTTTGTCTGCAACCCTCTTCCTAGAAGTTTGAGCATGTTTCTTGTCCGCCATCCTTACAAGATTTTCTACATGAAAATAAATTAGAACAAACTAAAGAGAACGTATTGCTAAATTTCTATATAAAAACAATGTGAACCATTTAATCAGAATACAAATAAGAATTCAAATATACTGATCTACAGGAGAACTCCTAATGGCAGCCAAGCTGCAGTGCGGACAGAAAATGTTTCTTCATTTTTGTGGCATGGCAAGTAGTTATGAAATTAAGCACGTACATATTGCCAAATTATGTGAAATAGCAAACTTATGTGAATAGAGCACACTAAGCTAAATTTCTCTAAATTGGTTTTCTGTTCTGGATAATTGAAATAACCAATAAAAAGTA